GGGAGCAGAACACACACACAAGTTAACACTGCCAAACACACAGTATTAATATGCTCACTTGCACTCTCTCTCTCAGCCTGACACACATATATAGACTCTCCCAGTATTTAATACAACTGGGTAATGCCAGGGGCGAGGCAGAACTCATAATCACGAGTGTGTTTAACAGCGGTGTGACAGGCGGATGCTGCTTCACTGTAAGTAAAGCACATGTAAATAAGCGGGCTGAATTATTCAAGACGGGAGACTGGCTCGCTCGTGCTGGCTCACCCTCACACACTCAGATCCAGACATGCTGGGATAATCTCAGGAAAAAATGCCTTTGCTTGTCAAGGTGCAAACAGTCCAAGACGGAGCCAAGCAGGAGTGCTTATCATGCAGCGGGCGTAGTGAACTCACGTGATGTGCCTGCAGATTCAGGAGTTTGGTGAAGTTGTGAAGAGGCACATGTGGCTTCCACAAGGCTCAGGGGAGATGTCAGGGATGTGTACGGGATGACAGAAGAGTTTTGTGCTGCATATGACCAGATGGGGATGAAAGAAGAAAATAAAAAAATAAATAAACATATTTCTTGCAACTTTATTTTACAGCAGACTTTTCCTGTTTTTTTCCAACTTGATATTCTTGGACTGTACTGGAGTAGCTTTGCTTTCATATACTGGGTTTCGTTGGCTCCCTTTAAGCCAACTTCGCTATGATTGGCTGCCTTTCATAAACAGATGGTTTGAACAGCAGTTGGGTGGGGCTTATGAGCTCATAGCCAGAGCTGCGTGCCTGAGATGACCATATTAGGGATTTCCATACTCACTGACATCCTAGAGATCCAAGAAAAAGTATTTGGAGCAGTCTGAAGACAAGGATTACTTGCACATACCCTGACAACATTAATAATAATATTATTATGACATTCAAGTTTGTCTTATAAATAAGAAAATGAGCAGTAGGACCACTTTAATTAAAAATTTCAGGCTTTAATATTTGATTAACATGGACAATGTGACACTAACACATGTACAGCATCTCTCAGGAACATGCGTCCAAGTGCACATCTATCTGTGATTTGTTTTTCCCCCCATATTTCACGTCTTGATCATAATTTACTCTTCAGGTAAAGGTCAATGTCTCTCTACAGTTTATTTCAGTGATAGACGTGGCACAGTCACTCTTTTTGCTGGCAGTTTTGTCTGCAGCCCTTTCCATATGATGGCTTTCTTGCAGCTTTCCCAAAGTAGCATTTGCTGCCATTCTTTGTCTTATTTAAACATTTTCATTAGATGTTTTATCGACCAAATAATCAGCAGTTCAAATTCCTGCTATTTCATTATTTGCTGAGTGAAGTTGATAAGTCGAAATGTTTGCTTTGTTTGGTTTATAATGTCTTCTTTATGTTTCTAAAGCCCAAACTGGCATCATTAAATGCCATTATGATAATAGAAAACATCTAAAAAAAATGCTTACAAGCTGTAAAGGAAGGCGTATAATTACATGCACAAGGCAAGAAGGTGAAAGGCTCCTGTAAAGCGCTGCCAATAACAAGAGGAATGCCTGGACGCAGACTTTAAACCACAAATTTGCACAGACAACTTTCAGATGTGAGCCAGATTTTCCTCAGGCAAACAAAGGCATTTGTGGTTTGGAGTCTGTTAGCAGTGGTGTCCCTTTATTGAGATAGCTCACACAGCAAATAACTACACTCTAATAAGGGACAATATTGTTAAGGGTTTGTGACTAACACATAGCTTTATTAGGAATCAATCGTTTCATCATTCTACTCATGCCAGATCAATTATAACACATTAGTGTGTTATAATTGAAGGTCTAAAATGGACTATGTAACCTCTGGAATAACACGTGGAGAGAATCTGTATCAAAACCAATCTGTTAATATCTCTTTGGGGTTCCTGCAGCTTAAGGCGTGTTAGATTTTTAAGCCTTTTTAATATCTTTTTCTTTTCTAAGAAAAGCTGAAGGGAAAAAAAACAAGATTAGGTAATGTAAGAGTTGCTTGGGTTTTGTGGTTTGGCTGAGGCTGTTTGTGAACATTGAAGCGACACATCCAAGATAGCTGATCTGAGATCTTCAGGGCTTAAACAAAGTTGCTGATTCCCAATGTGGCGAGTTTTGCACACTTGTTGCACAAAATCCACAGCGCCTCATATACATTGCCTGTTTTCAACCAAACCACAAAACCCTGCGATATTGATTGCATCTGCAGTTCCCTGTGACATTGCTGACAAGCAGCCAGTGCACCTGACCTGAGCTTCCCTGCAGTAAAATAAGCTATAATTGTTGCTGGCTGTGCTTCTGATCTGCCTAACTTAAATCTGAGAGTCATTCGGTTTTGATGTATTTAGTTTATGTGTTACCAATTAACTGAATGTGAGAAAAAAAGAGAGTCATAAAAACTGCCCATGTTTCAACATGTTCAAGGGATTTGAACTATAAGTGTAAGACGTGTTAATACCAATCACGGTCTGTTTTGTGCATTTTTTTCATTAATCTGAGGGAACCGTGTTGTCAATAACGGTAAATAAAACCCAAGAATATTTAACGATTAAAGCTTTTATGTGTGTGTGTGTGTGGGGGGGGGGGGGGGGGGGGGGTAGATTTAAAGTAGCTAAAAATGAAAGAATATTTATATAAGTGGTTCTCCATAATCAAATCATGGAGAACCACGAGGCCAATTACAGCCTGACTCAACGCGTAACTCAACATCAACCGAAAACTCTCTAAGTGAAAGCATACCCTCATACCTTACTTGCTTACTACCCACAGCCAACAAACTGCTGTTTTCACAACCCCAGTCTGCTGATGAGGCCGATCTTCCTGATTAAGCCTCATTTAAGAGACATGTGGGAATCAGGGCGGGTAGTTTGGTGAGATTAGAGGCACATTCATTTCGCTCTGTCACATTACCACAATAAACATCTGCAATAACAAATGTGTGAGAACCTGCGAGCTAAACCACAGGGAGGGCAAAGAAAACACACCGTCAGCTGTGATGAAGCAGCACCTGGCTGTTAAAACATGCCTCTTTCTTCCACTCGCACATGTGATCAGTCAAAACATGTTCGACATTAATCGCCCCGAGGAATCGCGTAAATATGCCTGACAAGTTGGAAGGCTGTCTCGAAGAAAAGCGAGCAGGAGGACTCTTTACTGACCACCAGCGGGAGCAACGCGAGAAGCAACGTGAAGCACAGGGGGAAGGTTGATCTCATGGTTGTCGGATATTCGGTGCTTTCTAGTAAATGAGCTAGGGGAGCTTTGCTCAACAGAAACTTGTACCTAATGCTGCTTTTCTGGCTGTGTGAAGTGTGTCTTTGTGATGGAGATTTCGAGGCTATTTTAAATATATTTATATAAATTCTTAATTTATTGAGCAAGAGGAAAAATAACACAATATTGGGTTACCCCAATCTAAAGATGAAAACAGAGAGAAAAAATAACAACAACAAAAGGAAGTTAGAAGATTTTAAATAAAACATGTGCCTATAAAAATGTGGATTTATAAGTAATGTGTTTTTGAGAAAATATCTTTAAAAATTTAAGAAGTAGTGTCCTTACAAAAACATACAAAAGGCTATATTTTCAGAAAATCATCGTCTTTTTGCCAGATCTTTTGAAACTAATAAAAAATGCAGGGGCCGTTTAAGGACCATCCACTCCGGCTTTTGTTTTCTGTTAGGGGAAGGTATTAGCAAACAGATCTGTGAATAATCAAATTACTGCAGAGTAAATGCCACACAGACCCACAGGAGCCGGGTCCCCAAAGCCCCTGAGACTGCAGCATTCATAGGCTCATCACAGGTACTGTACAGACTAATTCAACTCCAGAGATATCGAAACCACTCTGCAGTTACTAAAAATTTACCATTTGTGATGAGTGTGTATAAAAAGGTTTAAAATAAAAATTCTTTTATTTTTATTTGAAGTCCTTTTTCTGAAACAAAACTAAAACTCAGTCCTGGTGAGGTAGGACATTTTCTGTATGGTGTTTTATTGTGTTAGTTTTTGTTGAATGTCTTTCTTAATTATGACATTTTCATGTGACCTGGCATGGAACCACAGATGTAGATTAGCAGTTCTGCTTTAATCTGGCATTACATTACATTACATCTTCTATTCTTTTGTATTTTTATGTGTGTTGTCCCTGGTGAAACAATAATATGTACTTACAAAACACACTAAGGTCAGTTTGGAACATTTTCTGAGCACAACTTGACAGATGGATTTTGCTACGTTGGTTTATGGAGTCATGGGTCGTCTACATGCTGTAAGTGTGCTGCCAGCACAAAGTGTCCTATCAGTTAATTTTAGAATTTGGTATTTATAGTTTGGTATTGATTTCTGTTTCGTTTCTGTTTTCAAATCAGTTGAGTTCCAAGTAATTCCCAGAGTTGAGTTCCAGTTCAGTAAAAAAATAAATAAATAAATGTCTGAAATGTTTTCATTTTCACTTAATATTTTATATATATATATATATATTTATTTATTTTTTTAACTTTGAAATTCCTATTACTTTTTTAAACTATAGGTTTTATTTTTATTACCATTTATGTGTTAATGTTTTTTTCCACACCCAGTTTTTAGTTCACTTTTAGTTATCTGTCTGCTCAGAACTCCTTTGAATCTTGGCTTCCACATTAGAATAATTTAAGGAGAAAAAAAGTCTAAAAGCTACGCTGATATTAATGAGAAAAAGCAAAAACTGAAGGATTTAAACAATAAAAGTAAAAGTAAAAGAGCAAATGTATTTTGAAAGTGAAAACATAAACTCAGAATACAACATTATAACCACTATGACTCATTCAAATCCCCCTGTTTGTAAAATAATCCAATACAAAGTATTTAACTACAGCTCGTTACTGTAACGCTCGATCTCGCTGTCTATTGGCTGCTGGCAAATGCCGCGGTCGTTACATGTCAACCAACAAATTAAAGCGATTCTCCTTTCACTAGATTTTCAGAGAAAGAGAGAGGGAGTGAGAGAGGTTGAAAGGTAGGTTTCGCGCTGCATCCTGGGTACATAGCTCCACTGTGATGCAGTGAGCCTGTTGTGTTGACTGGACACCAAAGTAAAGTGAAACTGGAGCGGGTCGGCTCCGAGGGGCTCTCCGAGCGAGTTACGATGCGTCTTTCACGGTGTTGAACGGTCGCGGTGAGCCATGAGCCAACTTCGCCGGTCGCCTCGAAGCGGAATTAGCCACTGTTGAGCCCCGAAAACGATTCCTTCTCGGAGGGGGGAAAGCAAAAATGAAGAAGCCGAGCGCCCTGCTCCCCGTTGCCGGCTTGACTGGGAAATGGTAGCGTGCTGTAGGGACCGCACTGGGAAGGATCATGGTCGAGAGGAGCAGCAAATTCTTGTTGATCGTCGTCGGATCCGTGTGTTTTATGCTGATTCTCTATCAGTACGTGGCCCCCGGGGTGATCAATTTCGGCTCCCCGCACGGTTATTTCACGGAAGAAGACGAGGGGGACATCTTCCCCACTCCGGACCCCCACTACGTTAAGAAATACTACTTCCCCGTTAGGGACCTGGAGAGGACGATTGATTTCCAAATTAAAGGGGAGGACGTGATCGTGTTTTTGCACATCCAGAAGACCGGGGGGACTACCTTCGGTAGGCACCTGGTGCAGAATGTCCGTCTGGAGGTCCCCTGCGACTGCAGACCGGGCCAGAAGAAGTGTACCTGCTACCGGCCGAACCGCAAGGAGACCTGGCTGTTCTCTCGGTTCTCCACCGGCTGGAGCTGCGGTTTACACGCAGACTGGACGGAGCTCACCAACTGTGTGCCAGGGGTCCTCAACAAGAAGGAGAACAAGCAGAAATCCCTGAGGTGAGACTGGGAGGTGTTTGGTGTAGTCAGGCTACTGTAGACTATGGAAAAGACACAAAGTGTGGTTTAGGTTCTAATCCCCCAAACTGCGGAGGATTTTGTTTGTCTGAAACTTTAGAGCTCTTCTCCATTGGAGGTACAATAAGGTCACTGAAAGCTCGTAAAAACTTACAGTTGATAAATAAACTTATGTCACTCAGTCAAACTGCCTTTCAGTTCTTAGCAGCTTCTTTCTGTTCATGACATATTTTACCTCATCCCCCTGGAGACATTTTAAAAGGCATAATAGTCACTGGTTTAAAGATCATCTCTCCTCATAAAAATATCAAAAGTCCACCTGGAGCAGGGTTTTTTTTTCTTTTTTAATCGCAGGATTGTTATTGTGATCCCAGAGAAGATAAAGCACAACAGAGGGTAATATAAAGGTGTTATAGTCTCATAAACGAATGTAACAAACGCATGAAAATCCCCACAGCTTCTTCACGGATGTGTTGTTCTCTGCATGGGACAGCATTACCATATAATTTTCATAAAGTCATCTATCTGTAGGTCGAGAATAGATGCTGAGAGGCAAATGTTGATTGACATTTCAACACTACACTGTCACGAAATGCCACAGGAGCTCAGCAGCATCTCTGACAATTGTTGATCGGTGCCAATATCAGGGTGCCCTCCCACTGAATCGTACACTGAGATTTGGCTGAATTTATTTCAGGAGGGCTGTAATACATCCAGGCAACATTTCCGCTCAGTAATAATCCCTCGCTTTGACTGCGAGGTACCCAGACACAATGCGCATCTTATTAAGTTATAACCCATTTCTTCTCCACGCCTTCCCCATTGTTGTTGCCCACATATTGCATCCCTCACCCAGACATATTGACGGCTGTATCAACTTCCATTTCACTGCACCCCTGTGGTTAAAGGGTACGCTTGTTGAATGGGTTATGTGTCTTTGTGTTGTCTGAGCTTGTTCAATATTTTATTTTGGCTATGGATGATCAATAGGACAAAGAGGGATTAGAAATTGTGGAAATTTGTCTGTCTGGCAGCCAGGCGTGGTGGAGATGTCAGGCCGGCTGCTCTGCTTCCCATGGCTGCTCAGACTGGGGGATCAGTGCTGCAGGCTGGGCTGGGCTTGGCTGGTAGAGGGGGAGGGAGATCGGGGGACCCTGCGGGGGTTTGGCTCCGCTCTAATCCGGGTGATTATTACCACTGGGACGCGCATACACACATACACATACACACACTAGCAGTGGTATTTGCTACTGGCGTCTGTCCTGACTCCTGTGGTTTCCCTGGGGCAGAGGTGATAACGTGTTCGGCCATTCTGCATGGAGGGCTGAGATATCACCGTGGATGCAGGATAAACTGCCTTTCATCACTTTGTGAACAGTTTCTGAGCCCGCGCGCACCTGAAGAGGCCACAGGAAAAGAACGAGACAAGAAGGCAGAGAAGATGAGAGTAAATATGCACGGGTGAGAGCACAGATGACAGACGATCGCTTGGCCCGGGTGTAATCGACTGTCTGAGCACTCGGGGCAGGAAAAACAAGGCACTGCAAGGGTAAAAACGGCCTAAAGGAAACTGTGCCGCTCCAAGCTGTGTACAGCGCAACTTTCACAAAGAAGAGAAGTGAATAACTGCAAAGAAACAAGAAGCGCTCTCTGTTTCTCTCTCTGTCACGGCTCTGTTTGTTCCTTTTTCTCCCTCGTTGCCTCTTTTTCTGGCCTCTGTCCTCATTGTTCGGTCCTCTTGTGGCACTCTTATAATGCTGGGAGCATTTATCTTGAGGGCATTGTCGTGCAAAGGCGAGTTAAAGCGTGAATTTAAAGGTGTCAGTGTGGCATTTCTCGGTGTCCCCCCAACCCGCAGCTTTCCGATCAACTGCGTATATTCGTAGTGCGTTTATGTTTGAGGAAGTGGGTTTGAGTGAATCTATGTCTGTGTGAAACGGAAAATGATTATTTAAAACAGACCTATGTAGCAGGAGCAGTTGTTGTGCTGACAGATCCAGCATCCCTCTCTCCGCAGCTGTGCGCTCATACAGCTGTCGAGTGGATTTTACACAAATGTCTCAAATGCTGCAAAAATAAAATGTGAATTAGGACCATTTCCATCAGCTGGATTGAGGCACATAAATACACCACCTGGCTGTCAACGAAAATATATATCTGCAGGAAAACCTGAATAAAGTCCAGACAAACAAACATATTTAAGATTTAATAGTGGACAAGTCACTAAAGATGGCTACCACTACTACTACTGTAAGGGTATGTGAATACATCCCAAACTCATTCAGTTTGGCTTTGCTTGGTATGCTGTGCTCTATATGATATGGATATTTCCTGAGTTTTAATGTAAGCCAAACATCTATTTCATGTCTATGTCTTTATGTTCACACGCCCTTAATGAAAATCGATGAGCTTTCTCCCACAGTGTTTTGGCAGCACACCAGTCCTTTTCATCCGTGTAGCAGGCTACCAGGGTTAGCCTTGCAGTGTTTCCCCGAGGTTAACTGTCTCCAGAAGTGGATGGGAGGGTTGAGGAAGCTTATCGGTGGGGTTGCAGCTGTAATGACATCAGCAGGAGAGCCACCAGGGTCGTGGTCAGGATTGGCTTCTCTACCAGCAGAGCTTCTTGCAGCGTTGTCTCTTGCTACTAGCTTCATGTGGGATGCATATTAAGAAATAATAATGATGACTAGGAGATTTTAGGGCTGACTTTCGGACGCTGGGGTTGTCGTTGGGTTTAAGTGGAGCTAAAGTGTTTTAAAGCTTTTACTCGTCGCTCAGTCACATGGTGAAACAGAGAGCAGAGGAGAGAAATGACAGTAAAACAGAGCAGATGCACACACTGAGCTGGAGTGAAATTAAGACTCATATAATATGTAATTATCATTAATGAAATGTTTCATTCTTACATTGTTTTAATTTTTTGATTATATTTTATCCCATTTTAATTGATTTATGCTTTGATGCAGTGATTCCCAAATTGCGGGCGGGGCCCCCTGGTGGGCCACAAAAGTATTGCATGTGGGGCAAATTACTAATAGAAAATCAGTTTGAGATTACTCAAGTATGTACAGTTCCATATTTATTTAAATTTGTGTATTGATGTCAAACGTTAATTAAAACTGGTAATATGGGTTGGTTAGTCTGTGGTAGTACTCATTACTGCTTTTGTATTGAAGTTTGTGTCAAAGTGGCAGGTGGGTCACTCACTGGGCTCAGCAGTTTGCATATGACTTGGTAGCATTAGCAATTTATAGCCAAGAGCCTGTTTCTGTTTGTTTGTTTTAAATAAAAATTTCAAGGAAACGCATCACAATCACAGATTCCATGGGATTTTCAGGTTTTTAAGTAGGCTGTAGGACTCTTGACTTTGGGAACTTCTTTAACGTGATGATGAAATCAAAGAACTTTGTCTTTGCTTGTTTCGTTCTGCTGATTAAGCATACCAGCAAAAAACCAAAAAATACTTTCAAGCCTTTTGTGAAAGAAGTATCAATATGGTTTTTGTCCAAACAAGTGCATCCATTAATAAAATTCTGCGATATTTGACAGTTGCCTAATTTATTAACTGTTTCTAATTATGTTTATATGGGGGCATGTTGCCCTTTTAATAAGAGCTAGAGAGCATCATAATTACCCTTATGAGATTTCCAAAACATTTGTGGATTTGGGAGCTGTTTTGTATTGATGCTGTAACACTTTCCAAGCCCAGTTGTTATGGCTGGATTAGTTATTGATTGAACAGATGAGTCTGTTGCACCATTTCTTCTGAATATTTCCACTTGAAGAGAGCGTAACAGCAGCTTTAAAAACGCTGAAGAAAGTAGATAAAGTATGGTTTCTTTTTTTTTTCTTTTAAATACAGTGAATCCTAATTTTTTATTTTTATTTTTTTTTGAAGAAAATAAAACAGTTGATTGGACATAGTTTGGTGTGGAGATAAATGTGGCAGCTTCAGAGCAAAGCGCATTAAAAGGAGCAAGCAGCGGCGTGATGAATAGTTGGTAATGGGGGAGACAGGTCTGGCTTTGATTGGTGATTAGATGAGATCGATATGAACAGTGGCATTGTGGGAGAAAGTAACTCACTTACTTAGCAGAGCGCCACTGAGAGTGGATTTGTCATCTTCCCACTCCTTATACCAGTTTTAATGTTCCCCACTGATCCCATGGGACACACTATCTCGCGCTCACACACGTCCACTAATAAGTGTGTGAAACAAACAGTCAAATGCAATGCTTAAGATATGGCGCTTCTAATTGGTTAAGGAGGTTCCTATCACTTTACTCAAATTAAAGCACCACTTTCAAATGGGGGAAACCATCTGTCCTCTGGAAGTGTGTGTGTGTGTGTGTGTGTGTATATATACACACACATCTCATGACTGTGTGTGCCTGTTTTTCTTTCTTTTTTTAAATCCTGGCATGTCAAAGAGTGTCTTAGTAAGCAAAGTGATGGGGCTAATTTTACTGCCTTAGTCTCAGTCCTCTTTCAAATCGCTCCCTGTTTCTTTCTCCCCCACCTCCTCTTCAGCCCCCCTTGGCTTTTCTCTAGAACACTTTCCCTCCCTCCCTCTCCTTCCATCCTTTCCTCCCTCCTTCCATCCACATGACGGTGTCACTCTAATCAAACAGCAGGCTTGCTTTCTGCTTGGTGGCTTTATGGCTGGGGGCTCTCTTGCTGTCTCTCTTTCACTTTTCCATCCATCTCGGGCCCGTTGTCTCTCTTTCCTTCCTTTGCCATCGTTCTCTCGCTCTCCCCCCGAGCGTGACTACTGCATTAGAGGAAATGTCTTTTCATGGAAGATTTGCTGCAATTTCCAAAATGGCTGCTTTGCCTAATGGACAACTGCCTTGGTTCTAATGAATGATTACATGTATGAGGGAGGGGAGGGGACGATGGCAGGGGGGGGAACAGAAGAAGAGATGGCGGCGATGAAGAGCAATATGAGGAAGAGGATGGAATGAGTGTGGGACAAGAGGAGA